ATATATATATATATATATATATATACCGAGCGGTATACCGAATGGTATGCCGCTCGGTATACAGTTTCGTACCATGCCGAGCGAACGTCGAAACTCCGATACGGTACGAAATTGCATACCTTGCTTTAGTAATTGGTTATCTACACAATTTTAATACCTATTTTAAATTTAAGAAATGACTTCTATGGAATAAACTATAAAATCACCTAATAGTAGGACAATCCAATGTGGGAACCTATAATGGTCAACCAAAAGGAGGGTTAGAAGAGAACGTATGTGGTACAGAATGGGGGTCAAACAAGAAAATAGCCTCATGCCACCATCAGATGTAGATGCTGATGACAGAAGTATGAAGGAGCAAGAAAGAGCATATGGTGCCAATGAGCAGTTCTGACAATGACTTATGAAATATTGTGGTAGGTAGAGTGTTCAGATATGAAGGCAGTGTGTGTGAGGAAAGTCAATGTATTGGTCAGCCTTTGGTAATGATTATTGCAACAATCAGAACGGGGTGAAATGGAAGAGTTAAAACCAAGGTTTACAAGACCATCCACTACAGTTCAATATAGGTGGTCTTTACCAGTTCAATAGCCTATTCATATGTAGACCAGGGTAAACTGGGCAGTTCAAGCCCGGTATGGGCTTGTACTAACCGATAAAGGACTTGTCCCAGCTGGTGCAAGCTTGCACCAAGCATTCTCCATATTCTTTTAGTAAGAAATTTAGCTGAAAAGATAAGTATATCAAATTTTATTTGTTGACTTTATATCAAATTTGATATACATATAATACTTTGTCATCTCCTCGTCCCCTCCCCTCCCGATATATCATAGTGGTGGCGAGGCTGACTAGTACATACTGCCAATTTCATTCCTTGTCACTTGGTATTGTAGTCCTTGCTGCAAACAACAAAATAGGTGATATTTCTGTACTCACATAGGTTATACCGTTATAGTGGCAAAGATCATGTAAATTAGACAACATGACCAACCAAAGAGAGAATTAAAACAATTAAACTGACAAAATCAGGAGTAAACCAACCTGATACAGAGCTAATCTTTTCCTGCAATAATCATCCAATCCATCCTCTCCTAATGCAGAAGCAATTACTGACATCACATACTGCTCAAGACTATCAGCTACCGGGAAAACAGATACAACATCCTCTGTAAGATGCTCCGCATGATCAAGAAATGGTCTCTGAAATGACATAGCAAAGTTCCCAGAGCTCCATTAAACAAAGGTGGGGATCAGAAAGGAGTGCCAAAAAGTGCATTGTTATAATAATATATTAACTTACCAACTTATTGCCATAAAATTTATGAAGTAAGGATGCAGAAAAAACTGCTGCCTTTGGATGCCATTGTGATAATATCGGTGCAAACATGTTTGAATCTTTCTTTAAAAGTCTCTTTGTCTCCTCTGCCAGAGATGCCAAAACATGTTCAGGCCCTGTATCTGACTTAACATCCGTAGCATGTGTGATCTGTCGAAAAACATATATATAATGAGTTCATTACATGGCAAAGTACAAATAAATTTGGTAAAGCTAAAAATTTGTGTTATCTCTAAAAGCAATTGAAAGACAGAGAAAAAAATTACAAAACAAAAGCCACACCAAATTCATGCATGAATCAGCCACAGATAATTTCAACACATTAGTTGAGAAAAAGGCATACAATTCAAATAAGTCAAAGCACATTTCATGTCAACCTCTAGGACATATAGCTACCTTTAAAATTATTAGAGGAGTACCTTGACAAGTTTTCCCTTGTTATCAAATTCCAAAATAAGTACCTTGGTATAGTTGGCCAATATTATATTTGTAGTCTTCAAGATATACATTTGTATATAACCTAGTGAACGTTTTCCAAATTTTTAACACAAGAAATTGTACAATATAGTACCTAACAGAATCCTCACATAATTACACTTTGTTAATATATTCATGTGTCTTGTTTTAAATGGATCCAAAGCTAACGTGGATGCTTCAGATGTTAGCAAAATTTGGTTAAATTGTGATTGAACAGATATTCTAAGATCAAATACCCCGACCAGCTGCAGATTGATGTAATCCACGAGAAACTAGAGTTATCTTAAAAGGTTTATTCAAGCTTGCAATTCATACCATCCAAAGTCTATGCTTCAGAGCCACTAAAGTAATTGACAGGTGATATTGAATCAAACTTTTAGTTGCTTAAATAAATCATTGTATAGGTTGGTAAGTAAATCATGATGGCCATATTTAGTAATTTAGGATTAAATGTAATTAGTTGGATCTTTTATGGATTACCAGTATTGTAAAGTGTAAACAGACTATTAGATTTTGAGATTACAGATTATTAAGTCACAAAACAGATGCCACATCCTTTGTTCCTATGAAGTTTCTTATACTTCCCTTATTTCATCCTCTCCATTCCTTTTCACAAGATTCCACATTCCGTGACCTTGGGCCTATTATGCTAAATTGCTAACCATGTTCGTATCGAAGTGGTGTTTGAGAAAGAACCAATGACCAAAAAATTCACAGTTCAAAATACCAACCATGAAAATGCATGCAAGGCTCAGAGAACCTCCAAATGACAGTCTCTTTCTAATGGTTATAGTACAAATCAGTGATTTAAAAAGCGCTCGGTGCTAAGGTCCCAAAACACCCAAGGCACTAGGCGCTTACCCGAGCGAAGCGAGGCGCACTGAAATATTAAAATATAAAAATATATAATATAATAAAAATATATAATTATCTAAATAAAAATATGATATTAAATTAAAAATATACTGTTAATAGTAACAGACGATTAGCTTAAGATTGTTGCGGTAGTGTTGCGAACGACAGTAATGGCAGTAGCGGAAGCTGCGAACAGCAACAGCGGTAGAAACTGCAGACAGTAATAGCGATAGCGACAGAAGCAGCGGACAACAGTAGTGACAGCGACGAAAGCTGTGGACAACAGCAACAGCAATGGCGGTAGCTGCAGACAGTAGCGGCGTAAGCTGCGAACAGCAGCAACGGTAGTGGCGGAAGCTCCAGAAGGGCATCCGTCGGTGGCGAAGGAACCTGTGGTCCACTCCCACGACATTGGAAGGAACTGTACAGGAGCGACAACGAAAGGAAGCTATGAGAGTCGTCGGACTCATCTGTCGACAACAGAGGAAGGCTCAGTCCACTGCGTCTGCGGCGGAGGCAGCGGCAAAAAGCGTCGATGGCGAAGGCAGAAGCAGCGCTAGGGTTCCTCGAGGTTGCGCGGGCGTGAAGGGTCGCTTTTGAGGTAAGAAACTACGTTATTTAACCAAACCAAACTTAAAAGTCTGGCTCGGTTCGCTTAATTGAACCGGCCACTCGCCCGAAGCGCCCAGCGCCTGGTCTCGGGCGAGCACCCAAGTGGTGTCTCTTTGAAGCGCAACGTCTGACCCTTAAACGAGGCGCTCAGGCCTTGCCTCACCCGAGTGCCTAGGTGAGCACCCAAGCGCCTTTTTAAATCACTGGTACAAATAGGAAATTCATTTTGTAAAAGTGATTCAGCAATTTAATATGGTTTTTCGTCTAACTCCTATCCTTCTAGTGTTAAAATAATAGGAAGATAAATAATAAATTTCACTTGTAAAGAAAAGGTAAACTTGAAATCCCCTAATAGTGTCTCATTTCAGAATGGAAAGCAACCAATTCTCTTTTCATAAGTATAAATTAGGTCCATGGTTCTGGGCTACTAGAAATTTCTAGAACTCTCAGTTATGACTTACTGTGCCACGATGATACTGGAATGGGATTCGTATCCTTCCAAAGGATGCACATACAATCCAGCATGGGCCCTAAGTCATATCATGCTGGCTATGTATGTATGGTGGCACATTAACAACATGCTCCATGCCAGCAGAAGTTAAACCCTTGATCAGAATTCAGATCTACTCTAAAAGATATAAATCATAGATATACACTAGTCCAAGGACAATTATGTAATTCGATAGATGATAAGATGATGGAGAATTGTTTTAAGATGGTATGGATATGTGCAAAAGAGACCAATAGTTAGAAAATGTGAAACATATAATATTAGTTGCATGAGAAGAAATGAAGACCTAAAAAGACTTTATCTGAAACTATAAATTTAAATCCTCTTAATTTATCTAAGAATATGGCTTTTTTTTTACAGAGCTAAATAATGAAAAGAGATCCATGTAGTTAAAGACAGATTCTTTACAGAGATTTGTTTTTGTTGTATCCAAAACTAGGCCACAATTTAGATCTGTTTACAGTTAGCATGGTAACATTCAGTTCTTACCTAATGATACAGGATCCGTCGACAGATACATTGGTCTCTATAGTCTATAGTATATATTATGAGGTTATTATCATCATCTACCTCAATTTTCTATTTCCATTTGTGTTATATTCTATAGTGCTAGTCTCTTTGCAAATTCTATTGTTTTTCTCTCTATTGTCTGTTAGAGCCTGCTCAGTCTCATGTGATCCATAAAGGACTAATGATGCAAACATGACAGGTATGGATATGTGCAAAAGAGACCAATAGTTAGAAAATGTGAAACATATAATATTAGTTGCATGAGAAGAAATGAAGACCTAAAAATACTTTATCTGAAACTATAAATTTAAATCTTCTTAATTTATCTAAGAATATGACTTTTTTTTACAGAGCTAAATAATGAAAAGAGATCCATGTAATTAAAGACAGATTCTTTACAGAGATTTGTTTTTGTTGTATCCAAAACTAGGCCGCAATTTAGATCTGTTTACAGTTAGCATGGTAACATTCAGTTCTTACCTAATGATACAGGATCTGTCGACAGATACATTGGTCTCTATAGTCTATATTATGATGTTATTATCATCATCTTCCTCAATTTTCTATTTCCATTTGTGTTATCTTCTATAGTGCTAGTCTCTTTGCAAATTCTATTGTTTTTCTCTCTATTGTCTGTTAGAGCCTGCTCTGTCTCATGTGATCCATAAAGCATGTTGGTTAGCAAGGATAACTAAAAGTTATTTCATAGTTAAAAAATTAAAATAACAAATTCTGTGTCACTGTCTCAGAAATAGAACAAATAAATAAAGAAATAATGATGCAAACATGACAGGTAATGGCAGAAAAACAGATCAGAGACAAATTTGGGAAGTAAAAGAATTAAACCAATACTTGACTTGCAATATTTACACTACAAACTTTTGGGAGATTTTTAGTCTATTTGAAAGTAGCAAAATTCACAGGAAAGGAATAAAGTAGCATGGAAAACCAAATTATGGCATTCACACAGAAGACTCACTCTTGCAAAAGCATTTTTAATAGAATTAGAAATGTATATCTCAATCTGGTCTTGATCCATCGAATCCGTCACCTGCTTCAAAAGAATACAAGTCCGCATTAATTTTTTGAAAAATAATATTAATAATAACTTAAAAATTATAATTTTTTACTATTTTTATTTGGTTTTAACATGTTTACAATTAGTATGTTTAAAATAATCAAATATCTCCTTGCATGGTAAAATCTTCTGATATGGTGAAAATCACATTGTGGGACCAGAAACAGTATTGAAATAGAACTGTAAGAAAACAAACTTGTTCGTTTTCCTCAAGTAAGATCCTTCGAGTGAGCATTCCCACTGTTACTATCTCTGACATCATAGATGGTCCCTGCAAGTAATAGACAAGTCATCTAAAATAATAACAGCAAAACTAAGTATGAGACACACGAGGAGGGATTCAATATAACTAAGCAAATGCTAACCATCGAACTGCACAACAGCTTGTTAAAATAGATATCAACTACAGAAGATCCAGTTCAGATGTAATGTGATATTAGAGTACAGTATAAAACCATCACCTGAACTGCTAGAATCAAATGAGAAGTATCCTTTTTAATAATTGATTATTCCAGTGAAAGACATACACCCCACGGTGATCCATAAGAATAAAGCAATTTGCTATCGTTACTTCTATTACAATTTCAAAAGTCATAGAAAGATCTATATGTCCCAACTATTTGGAATCAGCTATATGCATCTTTCCTCACCATTAAGCATTGTATAACACATGGTCTTAATTAAATTAATGGCATTCAACTTTTTTTCATTTATAATTTTTATTAGTCTTCATAAATCTCCTTCTACATCTCTTCCACCATAAATACTAATTATCTCACACCATCTGACCATGGTATTTATATATCTCATCAGGACATGTTTATACCATCTTAGGCAATTCTCCCCACTTTATTCTCTGAGTTGTGCCTAATTGTTAACAATTGAAAACATTTGGTTTTCCATCTTTTCTAGTAACTCCATACATCAACATTTGTATCTTAATGGCATAAAGTATTTGTACATATTGCTTCTTCTTAACCGTCCAACACTCATATGCATAAGAATGCCTCACCTAACAACTGTCTTATAAAATTTCTTTTAATCTAAAGCCGATAACCACACAAAACATCTAACTCTGTTTTCCACTTTAATAACGTAACTTTTATGTCATGAGTAAATATTCAACAATCTTTTCAACTTGTTGAATGATAAACACAAAATACCTAGAACTTTTACTTATAAAAAATTCTTCTCCATCCATTATAACTACACCATCAGCTTTTTTTAGTATAACTGAAATTATCTCTCATACATTCAGCCTTAGTTATACTCTCTTTTAAAATCACTAGTTTCTAAGATTGTCTTTATGATTCAAATTTGAATTCACATAAACAAAAACAATATCATCCACAAATAGCATGTATCATGAAGGTTTATCCTATCTATGATTAGTATGCATGTCTATTATCAATGCAAAAATGGTATGAACTTAAAGCTAACCTTTGAATTAATCTTATAGTCATAGAAAACTCATTATACACTATCCTAGAGTTCTAACACTAATGCTTGGAACTGACATTGGCAGTGTTCTTTTGATATTGGCAGTGTTCTTATAAGAACAGTTTTCATCAATGCTTGGAACTGACATTGGCAGTGTTCTTTTGATACAATTAAAGATCTATAAGAGTGTTCATTAAATTTAAGACAATTATGTTCATTTGACCTTTCTTTATCCTACAACGCTCTCTTAAGCCAACTTTTTTAATGTATTGCAGGATAGATAGATTTTTTATGTTCCATTTTTCTCTTAAGCCTACTTTTTAAATCTGTCTACCATTCATGAACAGTTAAAAGTTTCTGATTTGCTTCATAATGGTCAATGGAATAATGTTATGTTTTAGCAGTGTTTTAGCTCTAACATTTGCAGGCTTATTTGTGCCGTTGAGGTAGCTCCTTCTTGTGAGTTGTGATAACAAGTGGATATGGAAAGCTAAAATGGCTCATGAGTTTATCCTGTCTAGGGATCAACCTAGCTCTAGGGATGACTCAGTATGGCCCGAGTCCTGGGAATTTCCTGCAATTCCATGGGCCCTTATTTTTGAATGGAAACTTTTACCTAAAAGATTGTCTACATCTGTTCGATTAGCTCATTGGGTGTGGGGCAGCCTCATGTGTGTTATATGTGTGGGGGTGGCTGGGATGACCAACAGTGTATTTTCTTTTATTGTCCTTATTCTCAAAAGGTTTGGGGTTTTTTAAGCAGCAAGTTGGGTGTGCAGTTTAGATTGTTTGCTGATTGGAAAATTGGATCTTGGGTCAAGGAAGCTTTGATCTCCCTAAGTATCCTCGGTGAATCCTTAGAGCTGTGATTGCTAATTGCCTATGGCTGATTTTGGGAGGCCAGAAATGATATACTTTTCAACGATAAGAGGACAGGTATTTCATCTATTGTATACATGGCAGTTTCATATATTACAAACTGCAGTTTATTTGTACAGTCTGGAGTAAGGAAGGAGGTACAGCAGGTCACAGTGGCATGGTAAATACCAGAGGTTGGATGGTTCAAGCTCCTTACTGATGGGCCATTCGACTATCACAGTAAAACTGGCAGGCTGGGTATCTATGCGCAATTTTGATGGATGTATTGTTACAGGGTGCCACTTCCTCATGGCTGGCAACTCATGGACAAATGAGTTGGAGGAAGTTAAAAGGGGCAGCAAGGTTGTGAGATGGAAGGTGTTACCAATATAATCATTGAGATATATGTTAAATTATTGGTGGATGTCTTGAAGGCAATGGAACCCCTCCTTGGAGTATTGCAAATGAAAGCAAATCTGTGCTGCATTTCTTGAACCAGTTTGAAGACTGGAAGGCTGTACATGTTCTTGAATCTTGAGGTCAACCGTAGTGCCCATTGGCTTGCTCAATATGCGAAGAACAGAAGGATGATTGGCATCTCAACTTCATCATATCTTGTGCTTCGAGAAGCATGGGTTACAATGTAACAGACTTGTTTCTTCAGTAATATAATTTCGTTTTCTCTTTGGCATTAAAAATAAAAAACGGTGTGTCCAGGTGCAACTGTAGACATGGGTTTCTCATTACTATTGTACTTTTAACTCATTATGAGCTAACATATTTTATATGTTAAATACCAAACAATAATCAGTAATACTGAAATTTTGACACCTGATGAACACTAGAATCAATAAGTTCACATGCCGACATTATAAATAAGCGAGGGGAACGAACCTCTGAAAAATGCAGATGATAGTCGGCAAGCTTTTTATCAGCCCATTTTTGAATAGGAAATAAGAAAGACTTGAAAAATGTGAAATTTTGCCAAGCATCTTCACTTTCAACTGAGCAACAGAGACTTTTCAAGTGTAACCTTTCCTGTGGACCACGTTGTTCCTTCAGGGGTATTCTCCTCAAGTGATGAATAAGAAATTGCAGGAGTTTCTGTTCCCCTGTAATAATGAACTTAATTTTGACAAAATAAACACAGGTTAGGCAGTTAATAGATAAAAGATCCATGGCTAATACAACATAAACCTTGAGTATGAAGAAGTCCTAAAAGAGGACAAAAACTTTAAAAATCATCATATATTACAAGTTCTCATTATGATATGATACAAGTTTTTTAATGAAATATAACGGTCACTTGATGAAATATCATTAATATGATACAGTTCTACTCTTTACCAAAACTAAAGGGTAAGTAATCATTAGGGAAGAACCATAAGCACATATCAGGATTTGGATAGAAATACCATAAGCATTCTAAACAACCAACAATTGGGCACTAGCTGAAATGAATGATACATCTAAGTCATTCGAGAAAGACAAAAAACGCATTAAAGATAACTTTGAATATTGTACATGTAAAAACTCCCTGCACTTCACTTCGTGAATTTTTTGTATTTTTTCCAATGAAAGGCTTTATGTTTCACATCACTTGCTTCAGAGGGTTGTTGGATCTAGATGTGCAATGTTCTTCACACCGTGATTCATGGTAGATGTTGGATCTTCAAGCACCTTATACACTATTAAAAATGTGTTTGTACATACTTTTTACCTAAATCTCATTACTCAGAAGAGTCATAGCCCTTCCCCTCTCCAATTCCAATTTGCAGCCAAGTGACAGGCGGTGACCGGTAGACGCAGCTAGCTGGGGAGAAGGCATCAGTGGTAGTGATACAACAAGGTGAATTCTTTACTCTTCTTGGTTAATCTCCCTTTCCTCTTCACCTCATCTTCCTCTCCTGTAATGCAAGATCAGCTTGATCTGATAGCCAGCAACTGGAATATGGAAATTCTAGCAAGATTGTAAGTGATTTTGGGGTTGGGGTAGTTGGAGCAATAACTCAGCCAGATCAGGGTTGGGAATATTGGCCAAGGCCTTTCAGATTTGCTAGATTAAATCACAACGGGTCAATCAGGAAAAATCTAGCCACAATCAGGAAAACCTAGTCAAAGGTCAACAAGATATAAATTTACATGTGATTAAACTTTCATGGATAAATAAATACTCATGCTTCTTAACAGAACATTAAAATCATGTATTTACACCTCGAAATCAAAAGTAAATTACAAAATGTTAATGTGACCCAGTTGAAGTTATATTTGGAAATTCAGCAACATAGCCCATGTTTTAGCTAGGTCCAGGTTGGCTCCCCAACAAAAAGGTGCACTTTGATAATGAATAGAGATCTTTGTAGAAATTGTTTTATTGCCTCCTAGTCCCAATTTGCAATATTGCCTAGATATATTAAATTGAAAGACAACCAAATACTTTTAGCATGATTAAATTGGATTGACAATAAATCACAATAGGCAACATGTCTCCAATGTAACTGTGGGAAAAACTTTTAGTTGCCTCACAAAATTGGTCTAATTGTAAGCATGCTGAAATCCTTCAGGATGAATTTTATCAGTGTCATATGAAATCCACTAAACATTTCAAACAGAACAAAAAAAAAAAGAGAAATTGCACAGACTATAAACTTAATGACACTAAGCAGTAAAATTGGAATGGACATCCAACATAAATGGACAGCTTTTAGCAAAAAAATTCTTAAAGCCATAGCCTGGTCCAAGTGTAAAAATACAATCCATAAGGAATTTTGACCTAAAGAATCCAAATTAGTACATAACACAGAGAACACTTCGATACAAAGTTTTTAATTTCGATATGTACCACCCGATTTGGGCGGTACGTACCAATCCGAGAGCCTCTCGACACACAGACCATCCGCTACTAGGCGGTACAAAATTTTTGACCCCGAATCAGGCAATACAGGGCTATATCGGGCAGTAACGGTCGAAATCCAATAGTTATCGACCAATATTAGGTTTCAAACGATCGATTTGACCATTGGAGGTAACCTAAAGGGTTTTAAACCCTTTCCTCCCCACTCTTTCAATTCGTTTCACTCTCACAATCTCTTAAACTTTCTCAAACTCTTTTCACTCATAATCTCTCTCTTTCTCTCACATTTTCACTCTTCTAAACTCAATAAAGTAACGATTTGTAGAATGGACCAAATTTAATAAGCTAATTTAGGAGGATTAAAAAGAAGAACCTTTTAATCAAAAGGTATGTATTTGCTTTCTAGATTTTATTGATTTATGAGATGATTAAGTCTATTCGATGTGATGTATGACTTAATATCTAATATGTTGTTTGATAAGCTTTCGATGATAGAATAATATTAATTAGGGAGTAATTAAGGTCTTTAATATAGTGATTAGTGTATTTAATATTGATTTATTCGAAATTAGACACTTAATAGATCGAATGTTTATATTTCATACATATTAAGGATTGGATCATATGTTTGTGATGGTATAATAGATTTAATTAGGTTTTAATAAAAATTTTTAATACCCTGATTAATGGTTTTAATGATAATTTAATCAAAATTTCATCGATATTGGATCAATTCAATGTCTTTAATACCTATTAGGGTGTTTGACATGTTTATAGTGTTAAAAGAGAAATAATTAGTAGGTAATTAAATATATTAATAGTGTGATTAGTGTATTTAACGATGATTTCATCGTACTTTGACTATATTATAACAAAATTATGTATTTAATGCTTTTTTTATGTGTTTAACATATTTATGATGGTAAAATAAAGTTAATTAGATTTAATAAAGTTTTTTAATACTGCGATTAGTGGTTTTAATGATGATTTAATCAAAATTTGATCTATATTGGATCAATTCAATGTCTTTAATACCTATTAGGGTGCTTGATATATTTATAACTTATTTGATTTAAATTTAGTAGGAACATGAGACCAAAGGAACAAACATATGATGACGCTTGGGCTCATGTCTGAAAGATGGATGGGAATCGTCATTATTAACAATGCACTTATTGTGACTACATCGACAATGGTGGAGGAATCACTCGGGTGAAAATACATTTGGTCGACAGGTATCCTGATATTACAAAATGCAAGAAGGTTCCGACGGATGTCCGTAAATCCTTTTAAAATAAATTACAGCAAGCAAGAGAAGATACAATAAAAATAAAAACAAGAGCTGAAGAAGAATACTACAAGACAACGCAGGAACCAGATTATGATGATTATGAGGGTCACGACGATGAAAGCGACCTGAATCTCACAGTTGGTATTCGTGCATCACTAGAGCATCAGTATACGTACGAGGAAGCAATGAGGCATCAACGACTTGACTCATAATGGAAGCATGGCGGTGGCAATGGATCTGCGCCACAAGGAATCCAAAGGTCGGCCAACATGAGGCAACCAACTGGCCCTCCTCAGTTAAGTCGAACTAGTAGCATGAGGCAAGTGTTAGGACTCTAGCTAGGAGAGTCCTAATTGAGAGGGATATTCATGTAAAACCTACCTAAGCCGACCACTATTAAAGAGGTGAAGAGGCCGGCTAGGGTTAGGAGGTTGTTTCTTAAAGAAGAATTAGGAGTTGTAAAGGAATAGGAGTATTGAGTAGGAGTACTATTAGGAGTTGGTTAGAAGTAGGAGTCTTGAGTAGGAGTCCTATTAGGAGTTAGGGTTTAGAAGCCCTATAAATAGCCATGTATTCCCCCTCTTTTGATAAGCAATAGATGAATCTTTTCTACAATCTTTGAGCAGCAACTTGGAGAGAGGAACCCCTATAGAGTTCCAAGGAGGCCGATCCCCTAAAGAGATCAACCCCAAGTTTAGAATCTACAAGGGTTCTAACACCTGGTATCAGAGCAGCATTCTTAGCATCTTGCTGCCCTTCCACAACCATCCATCAACCCTCCATAGTCGCCCAAAGCAATTCCCACAATTGCTTAAAAGATCGTCAACAAATTCCACCGTCATCTCCACCACCGCGGATCATCCTTTGATCTCCCTGTGAATTGCAACAGGTTCTGGTTTCCTACCTTACTGCTGCTGCAATTTAGTTATCCTTATTCTAAAATCCAAAAAAAATTATTCCTATATTGCTGCATAAACTTTTCGTCGTAAAGTATTCATCTCTACGACGAAAGATAATTGCAAAATTTCAACCGCATAGCACAGACTGTTTGATCTTGCTACTGCATTTTTTCTATTCAAATCTCTACGAAATTTTTATAACAGCTTTGACACTTCCTAACAGCATATTTCCCTTTGGTCTTGTCAAAAAATTCTCAATATAAACTATTGATCTTTTACGTCTAAATTGCTATACTTGAAAATCTGCACTGTAAAATTCCAGCCGCATAGCACAGATTGTTTGATCTTGTTACTACGTTTTTTTCTATCCAAACCTCTACGAAATTTTTATGATAGCTTTGACACTTCCTAACAGCATATTTTCCTTTGATTTTGTCAAATTTCAGCAATTCCCCCTCACCTCTGTGAGCTTTGCACAACTCTTTAGGTCGCTGAGCAACCCATCCCACTTTACATGGTCTCATCCTTTACCAAGCACCTCGCTTGTCTTGAGCACCATCAAGTCTGGTTGCCAACATCGAGCTGTAGCTTAAACTCAGCCATCCCAACCTTTGTGCGCTACGCGTTCTTCCCAACTTGCTTGTCCTCGTAGTGCCCCTCACACTAAGGGTTGGCCATTCCTTTGAATGCCAATCTTGGATGCCCCCTCTCCTTCGAGCAACTCCTTTCCCTACACCTCAACGCTCGTTTCCCCCAGACGATCGTGCGTGCTGGCTGCCCTCAGCATGCTAAGTGTTTCTATGTGTACTTGTCCCGCTCTGATACCAAATGTCACAAACTTAGCTGGTTTTTTCTAAGTCGAGCAACACCCCTATGTGTTCATCTGCAAAGGTCAGCCTCCCTGAAACCTCCTATGGTCCCTTAAGACCTATAAAAGAGAAAACGAGTTAGAGAAAGCGTTTCACTCGGGATCCACAAGCAACCATTTCAGCAAACACTTTATAGCCAATGCAAATTACAAATATAGACTTCACAAGCTGTGGACGATCGCACAACAAAGGGTCCAAGATGGTCCACTACAAACCAAAATCTCCACAAGTACCCACATAACACAACCTTTGTTTACAAGCCTAAAATTGCCACCAAAGCCAACCAAAATAAGGCTGCCAAGAGTACAGCCAACCCTCTACATGTTGTGCAAAGCATAAATAAAACCAAAATGTATAGATATACATGAGCATTACATCAAACACCCCGTTTACAACTTTGTCCGTGACAGTTGAGTGCTTCAGGCGAGCGCCCGGTTCATATAAGGCAACTGGGCGCCTAGGCGGTTCAGTTTAATTTAGTTGGTTTGATTGAACCAACTAACGTAGTTCCTTACCTCAAAAGTTGCCCTTCACGCATGACCCTAACTCCCCAAGCCAACCCTAGCGTGTGTTTTCTCCCGCTACCTACGTCGCAAACGTAACGAATCAAGTCTTCCTCTATCGCTAACCGAGTCTTTCTCCTGCTGCTTCCGTTGTTTTCCATTGCCGGTGTTCGGCTTTGTCCGTTGTTGTCCGCTACTTCTGTTGTTGCCACTGTTGTCGTTCATAGTGCTACTGCGACTGTCTTAAACTAATCATCTGCTGCTGCTGCTTCTCACCGTTGCTTCTCTTCTAACTTTTCACTATTAGTTTCACTTGGTGACATTTTTTATCCTTTTATTTAAATAATCATATTTATTAATTATATTATATATTTTTTATATTTTACTATTTTAGAGCACCTCACTTTGCTCGGGCGAGCGCCTAGCGCCTCGAGCATTTTAGGACCTTGGCGTCTAGCGCTTTTTAAATCACTAACATCGACTCTTATCAAACACTATTGATGCAGCCTATACTATTATGGAGGGTTGATTATTCCGAGAAACAATTGGTTCATTCTCCGACGTTATAGTTGTATCGTGTCGTTACACGGATCCTGGTGAGCAAAAGTTACACACATATTGATTATCAACTATATTTATTATTAATTATTTGTTATGCTAAAAAATTCTCATTTATATCTTTTTTAGTCGAGTGGTGGTTACAATTTAGAGAGGACGCACCAAATTTAAGGAAGATTATCATTCGTGTACTTTCACAGACAACATCTGGTGGTTGCGAACGTAATTGGTCAACGTTCGCATTGATTCACCCAAAGGTCCACAACAAACTATCGTATAGACGGTTGAAGAAACTGGTATATGTCCACTATAACATGCGACTAAGGTTGCGATGTGTCGAGCTGGACAAGGAGCCAGAGGAACCAGAGATTGATCTCATCGACCTCCAATTCTACAACGAAGATTCAGAGTCGATGTTAGAGTGGGTCAAAGCGACAGAGAACCAAGAGGATCCTCTACTTAATGAGGCGAGAGATCCTCAACGTCCTTCGCGTTTTATCACCAAGCAATAAAAGATGAGGAAGCACATCCCCGGTAGGAGGAAAATCCATCTCGGTCAGAACATGATGGAAGGAGCCAAACAAGATCGAGTCAAACTGCTCTAGAAACTAGAGACACCCATCCGTCACAATCGTCCGCCCATAATACAAAGGCAAAGGGGAAAGCAGTAGCATCAGCTGCACCGTTGGAAAGAATCGAGTCAGGTGACAAGATACCTTCGCAATCGTATTCAACAACCCACTCGGTCCAAAGACATGGCAACGATATGAACAACAATGCCTCGACCGATGATGGCAATGGCGCCAGGGAGTCTATGGTCCCGTCTACACAATTTGAGGGTGGTGCATGGACCGACGAGTAGTATTTTACACATACCACCCAAGATTCAAATCATAGAGCTCAACGAGGTACTAGTCAAATTTATGCACAGAAAGGGAAGGGGAAGTCAATGGATGATTTTCAACAGATGCGACAGAGCCTACATGATGTAGACACAAAGCAAAGCTCATCGTATTCACAACCGTCGTATTATGGAGAATCTTATGGCCAACAACAGTATAGTGATAATCATACTTCTCCGAGCAATAATATGATACGGAACAGCAAATCAATAGTTAAGGTAGAAGTTTTGGCATTCACTATACTCTATATCAATACATGTCACATTCGTCATTGCCTTAGGAGCCACCTCGGACACATGTGATTCACGAGGATCAGCCTACGACCATCACCACATTGATGCACCAATGACATACGATGTCTCAATGCACTATCATAGGATCAACTTCAAGATTAGGTCCGACAAACATGTCATATTGATATATAGATACATAGGATCGAGGACCCCGATCCATCACCCGTGGAGTCTCGTTATTCGTCTTGGTGATAGAATCAGGTATATCCATATATTAATTACTTAATTCATTTGAATCTTAAAGTTTAAGTTATATAAAAAATAATCTAACAATTTAAATATTTTTGTAAATAATTCAATATTAACGGAAGAACAATACAAAACAAACCAAAATTGCAAACCTTACACACGGCTACTCCTCAAAGCCCGAAAAAGATATGTGGCACTATTCTTACCTAATTTACATTTTTTTTTTTGTCAAAACTATACTAAATGTATATTTATTTCTAACTTAAAAGCCATATCCTAACCTTTTTTTCTTTTTTCAGGTATTTTCGGAGGGTTTTCACAAAATTTTAGACATACCGCTCAGTACATGCTGGCATACCATTAGTACACCTCGGTACGTACCATACCAAGCAAGGCTCAATGTGCCGGTACGAACTGAAATTACGAACCTTTGATATACATGACCCTTCAGTTTTGCTAAGTACATGATAATATAGCTTATCAAGTTTTATAAATATTTATAAACCCCTTAATTTTCCCCAACAACTAGAAACCATTCAAATTTGTCATGACTCACGAGGCTTAAAAGAAGGTTATAAAATGCCACAAGGTCGGTGCTTTGATTATTTAAGATATCAAGGAGGACATACCATGTTCTAAAGTAACATACTTCTAAGTTAATACTTCAAAGGCATATTACCAACAAATCTTTCTATTAATCATTTTACCTGCCGAAATAACACCCATGCGTAACATGTGTCATGAATTGTCTCTGTAATACTTAAAGTTCGCCAAGTTGACTTTAGGAATTCAAGAATTTCCTCCACCTCCTGGAATTAGAAACCAAAATAGAAGTGAATAAAAGACACATAGAAGATAAAAGCTATAGTGACAGAGTTTCAAATACTCAATATTCAGTGTGAAAGAGTTAACCAAAACCTGTGTAAGCTTTCCCTCATCCAAGATATCGAAAACACTAGATAGCATTTTTTCATACAATCTAACATTAAGGGGATAGCCATCAGCCCAGTGGCATACTTCTCCAGTCAAATCACCCCGAGCTGGTCTCTCAGCAAGTGACATCGCAATTTCCCTTACAGATCTTAGACATTCTGTACGCTGAAGTTCAGCAGCAGATGGTGGAAGTGACTGGGAAATTTAACAACGATAATCATGAACTTATATATCACCAACGGCATTTTATGTAATATTATAAAATACAATTAATATAAATGGATACAGCATGTGAAACACAGAATGCACTAAACTGTCTATAATAGTTCAGAAAAGTACACACCTCAGACTCTTCAATCTTTTTCAATAGATTCCTGAACTCATTGGCCTTGCGCCCTGATTCCCCAAATCCTACCACTGGATGATTTATAAGACCTTCTTCAAGCATATTCAGCTAAGGAAAGGACAAATAAAAAATGAGTACACGAGCAAAATGACTTATATAGTTCAGTAAAAATGGTCAATTACCTGCCTCTTTTGCCACCGGAGAAATGCTTTTTTGTCAGAAAATTCTGTTTTTGAAACACAACACAACAGTTCCAGTGGAATCAAGAGATGATCCATTCGCTTTCCCACTCTGCCAACAAGAGCATTAAGTAAACCTTGCCTTGTTCTGATATCCATCGACTCTGAGATCTGCAAAAATTAAAAATACATATGTCAAACAAAAATGACATAAAAAAATCAAGGGAAGAAAAAACAGATTTTCATAACAATGAGTAACAGAAGGAGATGGAATCTGCATGCCAAGTGATGACCATATGAAAATAGTTTCATCTAAGTATTTATTAAATCAAAAATAACTTTCAGTGGAACTATTCAAATTCACCTTCTATTTTATAACTTAAACAAAGATAGGTAATATGGAAATCATTTTCATAATAAAAAATTCAAGGCAATTGATGTAATAGTTCTCAGCGATCAGATGATTATGAGCATAATTTTCCTATAAAACACTCATTTTCCAGTTGTAATTATCTGGGCCAGTTACTTGGAATTCCTTCAAACATTCTCAGGGATTAAACAAATGTTATGTACTTATATAGCATGACAATTAAGCATCAAAAGAGTTCCTTTTAGAAGTTATATATTGGAAGTCCATGAGGTTACTTAGCTGCACATATTTCAGAACTCTGAACACAAGACCAATAAAGGACAAAAGGTTGACTTTTCACAGGAACAGCAGTCTATTACTCAATATTGGAAAAAAGGATATTTGTTGTAACAGGTAGATAGATATAAAAATATGGAATTTACATCACATTTATAACATAGTCTTTACAAATAATTAAAAGATGAGATATAAAAAGGTAAGAAGCATGCCTCCAGCTGTGCTCGCAATATCTCTAACAGACCTACTAATCCAGCAGCACGTGGAGATTGGGATACAATGCTTTCGTTCTTACTATGACGAAGCTTCCTCATCAATTTGGACTTCTTCTCTTTCTTTTTTTCTTTCGATGGTACTATGAGACCCCTAAACAAAGCCAGGTTACCACAAAAAAGTTTAAAATGTATAACTGATAATTTGCAAAGGCAAAGCAAAGTTTAAAATGTAAAGAAATGTTAGTTTATTTACTAAAGGGCAAAAGGCAAAGCAAAGTTTAAAATGTAAAGAAATGTTAGTTTATTTACTAAAGGCCAAAAGAAGTTTTCAGACAATAGACATTGAATCAGCATATACCCTGATGCACCAGCAGAAGCTACGAGGATCTCATAGGCAGTTTCTCGAAGATCATCATCAGTAATACCTGAAATCACGTCAAAGATAAGTAAAAGTGCCACTATTATGAGTTAGTTACTTTTTCAATAGTAGTTCTAGCACTAGGAACACATCCAACATTCTTTAACGTATACATTTATATACTTTATGTTATATAAAGTATGTATTTCCAAAGCTAAACTTATTCCATAGTTCATGGTCTCCACTATGTAGTAACAATATATAGGATCTCAAACTGATTTCATAAGAGGAAAGTAGTACAGCAAGATCTATTAAAGGTTAAGATCGCTTCCTTCTCTCTTGGTCATTCTAATGTGTACAGAAGAGACAGTGAACTAATAGTGACCATGCTCATGCTATCAAATTTACAGAGGAAAAAGATTATGTGCTTTTAAATTGCAGTTAGTACATTCCAATTTCACATTCTGGCAATTGCTACAGGGTTATGATCAAATCTGCTGCCTCAAGGTGACGATTCTTCAGAATATGACATCATTAACAAATCATTAAACACAAAAAAATTATGTTATTACTTCATATTGCAGAATCACAAGTTACCTACTTTTGATTTAGACATACAAAATGTAGTGTCACCCTATCACTTTAGTTTAACAGAAACTGTTATGCTAGTTATTTAAGAAATCAGTCAGCAATATGATCCTTTAAATCTTTCAAGTTTTCTTACACTCTCTGCTTGATGAAAAATTTGCAAACTAGGTTCTTAGGAAAAAAGTCCCAAAACATGGTCGCACAATGATTCAAAAACTTCCACAAGCATAGTGTGTACAAGGACAAAGTAATTAGCAAATGGGGATAGAAAAAATGAGAATATTTACTTTCAAATGTTAATTTGTCTAGCATTTTATTTTATTTAGAACTCCTAAAGGAAACTTTTTGCACAAAGATCCTTGTGGGTCAGGCACTTGGGTACCAGCCTGAGACATGCCAAAGTACATACCACAGATAGGACCATTGTCTACTGGTATGCTCTTGGCACTATCTTGCCTATATTAAGAAAAGTTTTTGGCACAGTACCATGCCCCAATGCCAGCACAGGGTGGCACATTCTGACTTGAGATGATGCCAAGACTTAGGATGGGCAAACATGAAAAAGAGCACATGTAATGGAGCACTCTGATGGGGTTAAAGATTTGAGCAGCTTAGGTCCAGGGTCAAAATGGCAATATCAAATTGTGGTGAATTATACCAAGCAGAAGCAAAACTAGCACTGTGATGATTGTACAAGAAACATCACCAGAAGAAATGAGATCAGGAGAAGTAACCTCGCAAATTGCAAATTAACAAGAAATTGTTGGAAATAAATAGATCTCAATAAAAGCATAATAGTTTATTTGTGTTATTGTCATTGGTTTAGAAATACACAAGCTGACCAAGATTGTGATGCTAACTGAAATGCCCGGATTATAGATGAATTTTGCAATCCTACTCACAAATTTGTTAGCCAATCAACTAAGAAAGCTGAATTGACAGACAGAAAGCAAGGCATACTTGCCAATCTATTAACTAGAAACCAAATAATATGATGTCTTTTCCATTTCAAAGAAATTCTGAAACAACATCAATGAAAAAATACACAGTCCAAAATGACAACTTGCTCAACAAATACCTGACAACTGGTGTACTGTCGATCAATAGGTATTAAAATGAGCATCAGATTTAAGAAAAAGCAGGTCATCAATGAATGTTTATGAAATATTTTTCCACATTTCTCCCTGTAATGCTACAAAGTGGTTGCAATAACTAGATAGCTTACAGCTAAATAGTGCAGTTAATATCTTGTCAATCAATTTACTTTTACTAATAGAAATATAAAATTCATTATTTATCATGAACAACATTTTGTTAATAATCTAAATTTTCAACTCATTTTGGGTTGCCTAAGCAAGATCCACCCACTGAACAGATGACTAACCACAAATCAAAGCATGCAAGTAACCCAAACTCCTTGCACAAAATATGTCAACTTATACAAGTCAAATATTAAGCAGAAAAGAATGGACATTTTTAATCAAATTACCTGTCGCAAATAAAGGCAACCGCGGAGAAATATCACCAACATCACTTGGCTGCGGTCTAGAATTCCTGAGACTATCAACTTCTTCCTCTTCTTCGTCATCCTCAAAGTCATCAATATCATCTACAGTTAATTCTTGATCATGTGGAGGCTCAAATGACTCTGGTTGTGACACATTTGACACAATACATGATGATGTAGCAACTGGAATAGAAGGTGGTGCCCGACTTGGCGGTGACCCAGAAGATTCAGGATTTGTGACCAAAAAGAATTCTTTCTCGGGCCCAATATTACTCTGATCAAAAAAAGACATTAGATCATACTAAATAGAACAATGCAAACATGCAAGTAGTTGAAAGAAACAAAAACAAGACAGAATGATGATAACCAAAAAAAATATCTTTAGAGGTGATGGTTCTAACTCGACAAATGAGATATGTGCTTCACACTCATGACTCGTGCACACACACACATCCGCAGAGAGAAAAAAGTGAAAAAGAAAACCCTCCTCCAATGAGGGGAAAGCACTATCCATAAAGAAAAAGAACCACTCTTACACTCTCGCTACCTTTACATATCCCTCCATGAATAGATGTAGGTATTTGCATGCCTATAAATTTCAAACACTTCAAAATGCTTGACATCTCTAGGCTATATGTGTGTCAATGCTTGACATCTCCATGTCATCTCAAATATTAAAGAGATGCATAGAGATTAACTATTGCAGTCCAATGCATGCTGTTCTACCAGTGAGGAGTCGAGGGAAGGTCAATGTGAGTAGTCTTATTCCTGCAATTACAGAGGTGGTTTTTGTGACTTAAATCCTCGTCATCTAGGTCACGAAGGATCAACCTTACTATAACATCAAGCTCATCCTCATGTGGATTAGACAGTTGCCATTATATTTTTCATGTGTTTGAAGTATTTTTGAAAATTCTACTATTGTATAAATTTTGCATCATGATCATATCCTTTATAAAAGAATAAGACGAAAATACATGTATTTGATACTTCGTACATGTTTCATTGCCTACTTTTACAAGATTTGTCATTGGCATGTCCTTATTGTTTTGTGTCAATATTCATGCTTCATAGTCGCATACTCTAAATTGACTACCATCTCAATTGGTATTCCATGATTTTCTCCTACCCTACTACAACTCCACTATTTTCTCAAATATTTTTTTTATTTATGGCTTTTTGATAAGATAGACAACCCCTTTTTATAGTCACATACTCCCAATTGACTAGCATCCCAATTTTTTTTTCATGATCTTCTCCTACACAACTCCACTATTTCTCTAATTTCTTTTTCTTTCTTTGGATTTTAAGAAGACAAAACTTTTTTACTTCCACCTCGCCACATCTTTAGAGTGAACCTTTTTCCTTATCCCATTATATGTAATATAAGATAGAAATATGACTTTGAACCTATCAACCTTTAAAACCATACTTATGTCCGGTGATTTCAATAGGCGCTCGGGCGCTCGCCTAGGTGCTCGGGCAAGGCAAGGCGAGGCCCGAGCGCCTCGCTTCATGTCCAAGAGGTGCGCTTCAAAGAGGCGCCGCTTGGGCGCTCACCCGAAGCGCCCGGCGCTTGGGCTCGGGCGAGCACCCGAGTTAAACCAAGTGACCCCAATGCTTTAGTTGGTTCAATCAAACCAACTAAAGCACCGATATCAGCCTCCCAGCATCCCTCTCGCGAGTTTCCCAACCCTAACCCTACTCGCGATTCTGTCGTCAGCATTTCCTCTCCGTTGTCGCTACCTCTCTCCGCTGTCGTTGCCTCTCTCCATTGTCGCTGCCACTGCCACTGCCACTGTCGTTGCTCACCGCTGCCACTATCGTTGCTCGCCGTTGTTGTCGCTGCTCGCCGCTCCCGCTGCCGTTGCTCACTACTACCGTTGCCGCTACTCTCAGTCAGCAGCATCGGTCTTACTCTTATACTGCGCTCTCGTTACCGCTGCCGCTGCCACTATCATTGTTCGCCGCTGCTATCGCTGCTTGCCACTGTCGCCACTGCCGCTATTGTCTTACTCTTACTCACTCTTCTCACATCGGCTTGATAGTATACTGTTAACAGTATATTAACAGTATACTGTTAATTGTATACTAGTAACAGTATTTTTTATTTATTAGATTAATAATATATTATTTTGATTTTAATACTGTTAATTTATATTTATTTGAAATTATTGTTATTGTTTTGAATTTTGAGACATTTTGTTAATGTGATATTATGATTTTGCAAGATTTTCTTAATTTAATATCATATTTTTATTTATATAATTATATTTATTAATTATATTATATATTTTTATATTTTAGCTCCTCGCTTCAATCGGGCGAGCGCCTAACGCCTTGGGCGTTTTTGGACCTTAGCGCCTAATGCTTTTTAAATCATTGCTATTGTCGCATCACCTTCTCAAAGCTTTCATAGTTCATTTGACATGATTTTAATGAATACAACTTTTGTCAGTAGAAATATGACTTTTGTTCATGTCAGTAGAGAAGTACCTATCAACTTTTAAAACCATACTTTTGCACATTACCTTCTCAAAGTTTTCATAGGTCATATTCCCAATTGACTACCATCCCAATTTATTTTCCTTTATTTTCTCCTACACAACTCCACTATTTCTCTAATTTATTTGTTTTTTCTTTGGATTTTGAGAAGACAAACTTTTTACTTTCACCTCACCACATCTTTAAAGTGAACATTTTTCCTTATCCCATTATATGAAATATAAGATAGAAATATGACTTTTGTTTATGCCCGTAGAAAGGTACCTATCAACTTTTAAAACCATATTTTTGTCGCATTACCTTCTCAAAGTTTTCATAGTTCATTTGACATGATTTTAATGAATATGACCTTTTTCGGTAGAAATATGACTTTTGTTCATGTCAGTAGAGCTATCAACTTTTAAAACCATACTTTTGCACATTACCTTCTCAAAGTTTTCATAGTTCATTTGACATGATTTTAATGAATAGTTTGTCAACTCCTTAATAAAGCATAAATTATCAGGGAAAAGTTTCTGCACATCTCCATGTTGGTGAAGTATAACGAATTGATTAGCATGGCATGGCACAAGCCTAATGTCTACTGAAACAAGCCAAGCAATGAAAAGGCATGTGATAACATGTCAGGGTAGGACCATGAATCTAATTGCTTGCTACTAATCACTTTACCTTATTTGTCCATAAGTATAATGAATTGATTAGCATGGCATGGCACAAGCCCAATGTCTACTAAAACAAGCCAAGTAATGAAAAGGAATGTCACACACACACATACACACATAGCACAGGCCCAATGTCTGCTAAAACAAGCCAAGTAATGAAAAGGAATGCACACACACGATGTTCCCTGGGTCACTTTTTGTCATTTACTATCATTAAGCCCGTTATTAGTGGGTACACACACTTTTTGTCATTTACTAGCAATAAACCCATTATTGGCAGGTACACACATGCACACACGTACATGATGTCCCCTGGGTCACTTTTTGTCATTTGCTAGCAATAAACCCATTATTGGTGGGTACACACACAAGCGTACATGATGGCCCCTGGGTCACCTTTTGTCATTTACTAGCAATAAACCCATTATTGGTGGGTACAAACTAGATGTGTAATTTAATTTAATAAGCACCAGCTAGATGCGTAAATTCATTAATCAACTTTAGCACCGGTTTTCAATTTTAACAAGAGGTAGCATTTTCATCTTCCAAGCATACAACTACTTGTTATAGTAGCTCTGATCTCACAATAGTCATTGTTTTGATGCCATTTTGAGTTATTCATGTTGCAGCTTGAATTGTTTCCTATTAGTTTTGAGCAACTTTTCACATCAAAACTATTCTCATAACTGCATGGCCCAACTATTAATAGTTCAATCATTTGACAATAGTCTCATCACATAGCTACACAAATGAGTAGGCAATGATGCCAATTAACCCATTCTACATGCTTTCTAAGCATGGGCAACAATACGAGAATTTCACAAGTTCCAACATATAAACAACGGCACATCCTAGCTGCTTGAATTCTGAACAAAATGCTAAAAAATCGCCTCTCAACTATGGTTGAACAGAAATTCCAAATATTAGAACTTTCATTCATCAAATCCTGCCATCTCAAAATTCCACCCAACTTTTCATCTCTCTATTGTCCGAAGATGTATTAATTCTCCAAGCCAACACCTTGAACGATGAACATCTTACAAATATGTCTTTTACATGTGCTATTCACTAACTCATCCAGCACCTCGTTAAAAAAAAAACGTTAATCTGCCTTAACATCTTAGAAGTTTAGGTGTATTTTAATATCTCTATCTGCAAAGATCTTACCATTTTTCATGTAACTTTGTGCACATTGTCATAGGTAGCCAATTAGGTGACTGTTTACCAAAAAAGTTCAGCAGATCAAAACAAAACGATTGTAGTAGTCTCCCATCTAGCATCTAGTGTGGTTGATATGCACTCCATATTACTATTATTTTTATCAGTATACTGTTTTAATCCTAAGAAGCATTAAAAGGATAATGTGATATTAACCATGTACCATAATGGGTTAACCACTTTAATAACTTATCACTTACCTTTTTACATGAATACAAATATCACTCTGTAGTTTCACAATTTTCCTGTAGCATATATTTACTCATTAATTATTTGAAGTCACAAAAATACTTTTTTGTTTGTAATTGGTTCATGTAACTCTGGATATGTTAATATGGCTTAAATATGTGTCTGCATATGCACCACTAGTTACATCTAACCATGACTTACAACCCAACATTTTATAGATTTTAAATGGGTACAAATAATCAAATATCATTCAATAAGTACTTAATTTGATCATAGTATATGTCACTTATATATAATATAAGTATAATCACATCTTCTTTGTCTAAATATTTTAACATGAACCGAATTGTGCATCTGAATATGCAACCAAATTTACATAGGCTATTCGACGCCTCAGTCATGTGAAACACATGTCCAGGGAATTAACAAAAAATTTAAGCTTCATCAAGAGTTGGAAAATTTATCAGAAAGATGAAAGACAACAATGATGCAGCATATTATGTACAAAGGCGACAAAGCTTACCGTTGCAGGATAGTCAAGACTGTCATGATAAAGCCTAATGGCTTCCGAGAGATCAAGTGTTTCGCCTGCAGCATCAAAAGCTCTTTCACAATACCACTATAAATTAGCATCAATGGACAATATTGATAGTACGGTTTTGGTACCTTTCTTGGTGCAGTTAAGAACATAATCAACACTGACTTGATCTATATCTACATCATCCAAGGAAATTGCACCTGGTGGAAGTACAACTTTCTTGATCAAGCTACCTGAAAGAATATAATTAAGAAGTATGTGGCGATCACGTCGATAGCGCTGCAGAAGCTCCAGAACATTCTCCCTGGGGCAATTTCAAAATTTAATCTCATGCTGGACATTAGCAATTCAATCAAATGATCAAGAATGCATACTCTTCCATGGATGCGAGATGATTCTAGGGTCAAATTCTTTTTAGCATAATTGCATGACTCCAGAAACTTCTTCTGTTTAGCTGCACCAACTGCATAAATTGTGCGTAGGTTAAACTGAACAGAAAAGGCAGTAAAATTCAGGCAGTAAGCGCCTTAAATTTCAGAACTCAGAGACCAGTCTTGTCAAAACAATGTTTGTAGAATACAGAATGACAGATCTCATCAGAAAAGAAGCATGCTCTTAAGTAATGGAACTTCCAGTGACAACAAGATCTTTTATACTCCCTTCACCTCCCCCATAATCAATGGGATGTAATGATTACTTGATATTAAGCTTAAGAAAAGATCGACTGGACCCACTGGAGTATCACCAGAAAATGCTTAGGTATCAAGATAAGTAAAAGGAAACAACGGTTGCTCCCAATCCAACATTTCATGTGCCCAGATCTTTATAAATGCATCAGAAACACTACGTCGAACGAAGATATCCGTGATAAAGACGCAGTGGTAAAGTAACAATGAACGGAAAAACCCTAGATAGAGCCCATTTCAGATCATGAGATCTAACGAACAGCCCAGTGAAATCCAGAATTATGCCAAGAAAAGCCACAACGGTAGTGTATTTTCATCATAAAGCCTCAGCCACGATCGAATTTCTCTAAAAACCAGCGTCGCATTTCCCCTAACATCCAAGATCCACAACACACAATACCTTGCGAAGAAAAGTAAGCGAAGCATAAAAGAGGTCCGTGATGCCAAGAGACGCTTGCATATTTCATGAGGCACTCCAAAGATCACGCATTACCTGTAGAATCTCACGGTAAAGATGGTTCCTCTCGATCTCGCTTGAGAAGGAAACGAGAAGGCGAAGCCAGAGAGGGACGAAAACAGGGGAAAGGAGAGGAGGGGTCGGGAAGGCATAGATTTGGGGAGGGTGAACATAGTCGGCGCCGGACCGTAGCAATTCATTTCCCCGATTATAAGCTCACTCTAAAACCTTACCGTTCTATGATTGTAAGAACGAGCGGGACCCACTTAAGAAGACTATGCTCGATTCAATTCCATGGCAGGTATCAAAAGAGTAACAACAGGACAGGTGGAAACGATCAAGTCACGTGAGGCGGAGCTGTCAACTTGTCCGGATCGACTGCACGTCCAAACAGGCAACACGCATTCCTACCTATCATAGAAGGTGACGATGGGATTTGGTGATTCGGAGTTGGGTTGGAAGTGTCCCGGTGTGGCAATGATTGGATGTGTGATCTGTGAGCTCCGTAAACTTTTACTGGGTAAGTTGGTGAGACTTTGGTGGCTGATCAACTCAATCTTATCTTTTCTTTTCCTTTTTTTTCTTTCTTTTTACTTTTTCCAGTTCGTCTCACCAAAACTTCTTTTCAACTTGGTGACAACAGGCAATTTCTCTAAATTGGATCGTTTTCTTTATATTTCAGTCAATTTATTATTTAAAAATTGTGGTTTATTTGGATCTCTCTCTCTCTCTCTCTCTTTCTCTCATTTCTCTAAATTGGATATTTTTCTTTATATTTCAGTCAATTTATTATTTAAAAATTGTGGTTTATTTGGATCTCTCTCTCTCTCTCTCTCTCTCTCTCTCTCTCTCTCTCTCTCTCTCTCTCTTATTCAGTAGAATATAATATGTTCAACAACATTGACACCCAGAAGTGCTGTTCCTTAATTGGAAACTGGATTTCTTCTAGACATAACAAGCATACGAACCGTCATGGCCAGTTATATAGTTAATTTATCCTAATTTATTTATCGATATATTGTATTGTCGGACCAATAAATTCTCTCGATTATTCCCTAGTTCTGATCGATATTATACTTCAATGTAAAAATGTACAAATATTAGATGTCATAGAAAACTAATTCTTCTAATGTAAAGGATGGTGTAAATCCTACTTATTTATATAAATAATATCTGGTTATATTTGCAGAAATATCATGTATTTTATTTTATTTTATTTTATTGTATACATAAAAAATCTCATGCATTTTATTTACTTTGCACCGACATTTATTATGAGCTACTAGAGAAAAATGCCTCGAGCAGCTGCCTCCAGGTGAGAAAAAACAAAAAAAAAAGGAGAAATATATTAGAAATCAAACTAAGAGCAAAATGTTAGCCAACTCAAAATTTGTTTTATTGCTAAATAAAGCAAAATGTACCCTTTTTTTTATACTTTCATAATCCATAAAATAAATGAAAAAAAATATTTCATAAAAATGGCCCTAATTTTGTTAATTTGTCACGTAAGCCCCCACGTAGGGATGCAATTTTAGAATAGTTCTGCGGTACATAGACCGGATTTAAATCAATCCCATGTACTTAGGAAGGGTAACATGATTTGCTGCTTAGTGTTTTTGTAACATCCCTTATTAGTCTCACATCGAAAGTGGGCAAAACTAAGATTGACTTATAAAGGTATGATGAGTGTACTTCTATCAACTTCAGTTTAAGCATTTTGATCAATGGTTTAGACCAAACGAAGTTAGCCTATCAGGCTCGGTCATAATATTAGTATTATTGTATTATGATTGGTTCTTTCATCCTTTTTCTTGATTCCAAACAAGCTTGCTATCATTGAAAGGTTAAATTTGGCAAAACATTGATAATTAAACCACATCAAGTCGACAAATATCTTGCTCCAGAAACTATTATGATGTTCAATGATAATGTTTCTATTAACCTTGGCATCTCAAATCTTTTATAAATGACAAATGTCACAAGGTTTTTTTTCTTATTCTTTGAACACCAAGTGATGCCGTCGGTGACAACAATAAAGACACAAGAACTTTCTTATGGTAAGAGCTAAAACGACTTGGATAGAAATAATGGACACCAAAATTGAAGTACCTCACATATTCCAACAAACATAGCTAGTTAGGTTTATTTTCCCAGCTAAGATGGCAGTCAGAGACATTCCCAGCCAAAAACGAAAAACAAGTGGGGAGAAGCATAATCATCAATATACAAGTTGATAAAGTGTTGGATGTCAATCATATGTGCTACTCATTTAATGAGAAGCATCACTATATATACAACGATTTATAGATACATGATCTCTGTCCCCGGTCTGCAATCGTAGGCTTTCGGATGCCATTGTCTGAATCACTCACTCCTAGTCAAGCTGTTAGACAGCAATTAAGAAAGTCCAAAAACTTCCTCTTCTTCTTCTTCTTCTGCTGCATACATTCATGTTGATTTGTTCAAATTATGTGGTGTGGGGAAAGAAGTGTATAGCTTTTATTTGTTTAGCAAATTAGTGCGCATCGATGTCTATGTTTAGTTGCCAATAAGACATGGATACATCAATCGATCTTCCTTATTATTTCAAACTATTTTCATCTTCTGATGAAGTGAAAATTCATGTAACATGAGTTTATTTTAATGGTAATGCAAGAAAGTAATCGATCAACAAGAAAGTGAAATTTAGGTTTGCATATGAAGTTGTCTATATCGGAAGAACAGACCTAACAAATGTTCATATGATTTTGTAATTAACATCCGGTTACTAAGGTAAAGGACATATATAGTAGTAGTCATGTTTTGCTTAATGTTAATTTGAGACAAAATCTAGCATGTCTAATACAGGTTAAGTTTGGCTTTAGCATTTCCTACTTGAACAAAACCACTTTCAAGAGTCTATAATCAATTCTCCACCTTTTTTTGATGAACTATTAGGTCTTTGCATTCATCTTACGAAACAAAATATATTGATAACAATCAATGACAAGAGACTACTAAACACCCAAGAAACAGCTTGAAAAGGATCAAAATTTAGTTATAGTGGCTTTCCAATATGATTTTTCTACGTTTGAGCTTCTGCAATTTGATAAAAATTAGGAATAGAAATCATAGGAGCTTTTTCCTTTTTTTTTTCTTTTCACTTAGACGTTCAGATGGAGAAGAAAAAAATATTGATTTTAATTTGAAACTCAACAAGAAGAGTGAGCAAAGATGGCAATTTAATTGTAATTACGAAACAACCGATTGAGAAGAAATAAACCTTGACGCTGCCGTCATCTTCATGCTGTTGGACTTGGATGTGCTCCGATTCGTTCTCAAGGTCGATTCGATTCAAACGAATCTTGTGCCGTTGTCTTTTCTCCGCACGAGCTCGTGAGAACACCATGGAGTAATCTGGTGTGCCTGTCTTTTGAGCCCACCCGCCAAATCGAGGAACAGACATCGCACCATTTCTCTAAAAGAAGATATAACACAAAACATTTGCAACACTACCGTAAGCACAAGGAGGTTTGTAATTAAGTTAGATGCTAAAGGGAACAACATTTGAATTTAGTAGTGTAGATCGAGTTGTGAGGATAAAATAGGGAGGCAATCAATATGTCAAGAAGTAAAAGCAATGCAACATCTTGATGAGGCTTATGCATGACAAAGAGGCTTTAAGAAGCTAAGAAACCCCAAAAGTAATTATTGTAGATGTTAGTTTGGCAAGTTTCATAGTCCCACATCAAGAAAATCAGGCTTGTTATCTCCTATTGGAACTATAAATAAGGGTTTGGGATTTGAAGTCAGATGTACCGTAAGAAGCACCACAAGAAAAACCTAATTATTTATTTTAGGCTTTTCTTGTTTAGTATTTTCGGGTGTTTTATGGTCTAAGAACATTTTCCAAGGCATTTGTAATAGTCTCATTTTTATAATAGTGATTTGCTCCTCTTTCGTCATGGATGTAAGTCAAGGTCAATTGACCGAACTACGTAAATATGGTGTTCTTGTCGCTTTTATCTTTTCACTTTATTATCTTTGTTGGATTACCAAAATTACCATTTGGTAAATTTCCTAGAACTAGCTTTAACAGTAAATAATTATCAGGTTATTACAAAGAAAAAAAGTAAAATATATAGATTGAAGAAGAAAAACTGAATTTATAAATTAGATTGAAGAAGAAAAAAAAAACAATGCGATATGGTTTATGTGAAAATATTTCAGATGTTGAAAAAAGAAAAAAAGGAAACTAAAGTAATTTTGGTGACCCATAAAATTGCACAAGCATGAACTACAAGCATAAAGAGGTTTATAATAATATGAAATACTAAAACGAACAAATTTTGGGTTTAACAGCGTGGATTGAATTATGAGGATAAAAATAAGGGAGGCAATGCGTTCTATGTTTTGATTGAAAAATAAATAATAATAAAAAGTGCAAGATTTTGATAGGGGTAAAAGAATTTCATATTAGTAAATTTTGAGAAAGTAGTCAGTCCCTTATGCATTGGTGATCTCATCATCTACGAAGAAAAGTAGGAAATTTTATCTTATTTCAGAAGCAGGAAAGAAAGAAAATGACATATAACACACACAAACACACTCTCTTCATTTTATTTCCAACTAATTAATCTGCCACATAAACAAGATTGACAATAATAAAAAAAAAAAAGGAGCAGATGATAATTTTGTTCACCAGACGGAAATATTTGAAGATGATGTTTTTTAAAGGGAAAAATCAAAGCACGTATTGGATCTGCTTTCGAAATGATTCAATGTGCTGCAGCTACATTCTTCCTCTTCTTCTCTTAATCTTTCTAAATAAAACATTCTACTGAAATGATTGATCATACAAACGACCAAAAGGCAGAAATGGGAAGAATAACGAAAAGAAGAGATTAATTGAACATCAAGGACAACAAGAGAGAGATTAACTACAACGTTCAAAGAACTCAACGAAATGGAAAGCATTTTAGGAGAGTTTTACGATCAGTATCTTCTTCTTTAAGAACGAATGGCATACCTCCTTGACGTTCTCCATGGTTGCCTATGGAGAGATTGGAGATGTCTTAGACGTCGCTGTACGTAGCCAATCTGTTCCTTCCCATGCATTTATAGATGTAGCTCTGCACGCCAAAAACTAACTACAACAATAATAATAATAATAACACAGCGAATCCCATTTATATATATATAAAAAGA